CACTCTTGGGGATATACCCAAAAGACTGTTACTCCAGAGGCACCTGCACATCCATGTTTATTGCGGCACTATTCACAATAGCCAAGTTATGGAAACAGCCAAGATGCCCCAGCACTGACGAATGGATTAAGAAAATGTGGTATCTATACACAATGGAATTTTATGCAGCCATGAAGAAGAACAAAATGTTATCATTCGCTGGTAAATGGATGGAATTGGAGAACATCATTCTGAGTGAGGTTAGCCTGGCTCAAAAGACCAAAAATCGTATGTTCTCCCTCATATGTGGACATTAGATCAAGGGCAAACACAACAAGGGGATTGGACTATGAGCACATGATAAAAGCGAGAGCACACAAGGAAGGGGTGAGGATAGGTAAGACACCTAAAAAACTAGCTAGCATTTGTTGCCCTTAACACAGAGAAACTAAAGCAGATACCTTAAAGCAACTGAGGCCAATAGGAAAAGGGGACCAGGAACTAGAGAAAAGGTTAGATCAAAAAGAATTAACCTAGAAGGTAACACACACACACAGGAAATCAATGTGAGTCAATGCCCTGTATAGCTATCCTTATCTCAACCAGCAAAAACCCTTGTTCCTTCCTATTATTGCTTATACTCTCTCTACAACAAAATTAGAGATAAGGGCAAAATAGTTTCTGCTGGGTATTGAGGTGGGGGGAGTGGGAGGGGGTGGAGTGGGTGGTAAGGGAGGGGGTGGGGGCAGGGGGGAGAAATGAACCAAGCCTAGTATGCACATATGAATAATAAAAGAAAAATGAAAAAAAAAAAAAAAAAAAGAAAGGCCTCAGGACCTCAGAATTTTATCCAGGAAAGAATACAAGCATCTTAATTAACTGGTGAAATGCAAAGACTAAACTTAAAAATATAATTAATACCAGTTTCCTAGAATGTGACCATGAAAATTAAGATGAATGCATAGAACTAATTAACCAATGGGCAAGTTGATAATGAGCTTTCACTCAAAGATGGTAAATAAATACACTTCTTCATGTTTTTCCCAGTCCTCTCATGTGAACACAGACACCCAACCACAACTACACACCAGGCCCCTCCACCGGATGTTACTCAATACAGTCAAAACGGAATTAGCTGTCCCCTCACACCTTTCGCTAACCTGCACCCCTGCCTCAACAGCCTAGACTCTGAAACTGCCCGCCATCTTCATTGTCCTTACTTTTGTCCCTCCCAACAAGCCATCAGGCCCACTCACACTGCCAGCGCCTCATTTCTGGTCACTATCACCTCTGGACTGCATGACTACAAAAGCACCCTAACAGACCTCCCTGCAGTCATTTCTTGCCTACTGCAGATTCATTTCTCATCATGCCATCAGCTAGATTTCTATAAAGCAGAAATCACAATGCATTGCTCTCTCATTTAATATCCTTTATGACTTCTAGCCATTGCCAGCAGGTTAAACTATAAAATACTTAGCTGACTTCACAAGGCCTTCTATGTGCTACACTGTTCAGCTCTCAGGAAGCATCTCTCTCCTACAAGTCTCCAAAGGACTGGCTTTTCTCTTAGCAAAGGGACTCTGATAAGAAGTAAAACCTACCAGCTTTCTGGGGGGACAACGAAACATAAATACACAAATCCAAATGATCACCCATGCTTAACAGAAATAGCATATAGCATTGCACACTCCCAGAAATAAATCCTCATCTTCCATTGTCTTCCAAACTACCTTTCATCAAAATCTACCCAAGATCTATTTTAAACTGAACATAAGAATAAATTCCATCTTATTGAAATAGTCCCCTGACCTTACACTGGTTGTCATAAGACATGAAGCAAATATAAATAAACACAGAATGTGTCATCTCAGTACTTCTGTGCATGCCCCTGTGCATGGGGCACAAGTTTGCAAGGTCCTTATTCCATCTAACATAGTGCATATATATGGCTAACTCCACAATACCACAAGCACACCACAAAAAAAAAATTTATGATTTCAAGTGATTTTGTACATTCATTTTCTTCAGCACACACCTTTCCATTTCTCAACAAGTTTCCACTTAAATCACTCACACAAATGAGAATCATTAATAAATAAGCCTTCAGGAATATTAAAACTCCCTTGTCTCAGAAATACTCAGCCACAGGTACTGTCTCTAACAATCATTCAGCTACCAATAAGGTGCTGAAAAGAAAGCCATGCAATTCTTTCAGTAAGATGAAAAGAAAGCTTTAAAATTCAGAGCATTTAACAAGGGAAAAAGGGAGTGAAAAAACATGCAAATTACTGTAACATGAAACATCCAAACATAAACAAATACACACATTTATCTTCAGATAAACAAAGAAATATGAGTAGGCGCTTAGCAAATGCCCTCTCTAATATTTTATGTGAACCCAAAGAGACTATTTAAGCAACATTAAATTATTTTTGAGAAGCAAAATATATATTTTACTTATTTTTTTAAGAAGCAAAATATATTTTAGTATTTTCACCAGCAGCCTTTTTTTCTTCTTGCTGTTTGCTATAAGATAATTCGGGGCTTAGTTATTTTTAGTTTAAAAATTCTTAATATTTCTATTTAAATTTCTTTTTCCCACAGTTTGAATATGCATTAAATATTGAGAGGAGTTTGGGTTATGGTAAGAATAAATCCTAAGATAAAATGTATCAGAAAACATCATTAAATTCCCCCACAGGCCTGTGTTTTGCTGGTCCTCATTACAAGGTTTATTTCAAGCCTCCTTTGTTCATTGTCTATAAACTGTTACCCACTCAAGTGAACAGTCTAGATATCTGTTGAAATTAACACCATTACCTAAATTAAATATCGATAAGTTTAAGTGATAAAAACTAATATATTCTACCATCTACCCTCTGGAACCCCCTAAAATTCAGATGATCATAAAATATTGTATCAATTAATATTGATGGTGACCTTAAGAGACTCTAGAGGGTGAGACAAAAGAAATCGTTTAACTTTGATCCTCACCTGGTCACAAGTCACAAGTATAATGCACAAAAGAAGCAATGTAAGTAAACAGAAATATTCATTAATCTTAAGATTACAACAGTAAAACACATTAAGAGTCTTCAGACACAGAAATAAGCTATGCGTAAGCCTATTCTGAAATGGCTCTTTAAAAAAGAAATTTAACATTTTTAATGGAAATTATTAGAATTGCAATAAGAGTAGTTCAAAAAAAAAAAAAAAGCCTCTACACCTGCACACCCATGTTTATTGCAGCACTATTCACAATAGCCAAGTTATGGAAACAGCCAAGATGCCCCACTACTGACGAATGGATTAAGAAAATGTGGTATCTATACACAATGGAATTTTACTCAGCCATGAAGAAGAATGAAATGTTATCATTCGCAGGTAAATGGATGGAACTGAGTGAGGTTAGCCTGGCCCAAAAGACCAAAAATCATATGTTCTCCCTCATATGTGGACATTAGATCAAGGGCAAACACAACAAGGGGATTGGACTTTGATCACATGATAAAGCAAGAGCACACTAGGGAGGTATGAGGGATAGGTAAGACACCAAAAAAAACTAGATAGTATTTGTTGCCCTCAATGCAGAGAAACTAAAGCAGATACTTTAAAGTGACAGAGGCCAATAGGAGAAGGGGACCAGGAACTAGAGAAAAGGTAGATCAAAAAGAATTAACCTAGAAGGTAACACACATGCACAGGAAATTAATGTGAGTCAACTCCCTGTATAGCTATCCTTATCTCAACTAGCAAAAACCCTTGTTCCTTCCTATTATTGCTTATACTCTCTCTACAACAAAATTAGAAATAAGGGCAGAATAGTTTCTGCCAGGTAGCGAGGGGATGGGGGGGGAGGGAGGAGGTGGGGTGATTAATGGAGGGAGCAGGGGGAAGGGGGGAGAAATGACCCAAACATTGTATGTACATATGAATGAAAAAAAAAAAGCCTCTAGACCCTTCTCCCAGCTCTACATACTTGTTGACATGATACAAAATAGTCTCTGGGATGTTTGAAGGGAAAAGGGTTCCTACGAATGGCTTCACAAAGGTCATCAATATTGAGTGTCAACTGCAGCAGTCAGGGCCACGTAGCAGTCAGTGCTCACTCACGATTTGCACACGGTGCACCATAGTGGCACCAACCTGCATAACATCACCTCTGTCCTTGACGATCCAGGTGATCAACCAGGGTAGGTAGTAACATACATCAAATGAAAATGGGACATATGGTCACTAGGATATCAGCAATATTAATTGTCAAGCTGATGTGAAAAGGGCATGGCCTAGAAAATACCCAGTTACAAAGTGGTGGTAGACCTGAAGACTTACTCAGTGAAATAGGTTTTGAGCTAAGTTCGAAGGAAGAAGACCCAAATGATTGCCCCATTGGTCAATCCATGCAGAAAAAATGCAAGTTTAAGGACACAGAACCGGCAGTACTAGGAGATCCAGACATGCTTCATAAGAGTTCTCATAAATTTGTTTAAAGGAAAGATTCAATATTAGCACATTTCTTGCAGACGAAAAATTTGAACCTCAGACTGCATATACAATCAAAGTTATCAAGCTAAAGACATAAAAGTAATACCTTCAAGTCTAATAGGCTTGGTTGTAAGCTAAGCCATAGAGCTTTTGTAGCTCTATATATTATATTAAGTATTTATAATAAATGGGGAAAAAAACAACTTCACATTAAGGGAAAATGCCCTTATAATTTAGGATTCAATGAAGCTAACTCTAATAGAGCTTAAAATGACAGAAAACAGAATAGCATGTGCCTCCTAACTCTAAATAAACAATTATTACTTCCATAAAACAAGGTGAGTTTTTTCCTCTCTAATACTAAGGAAAAGTATTTTGTAGCTCTTATTTCCAGAAACCAATTATTCACAGGAGAACATGGGTTTCAGAACTGAATGAGGTGACAACCTCACTTTTTAACAGTAATAACTTTGTAGGTGGAGCCAAAGAGCACAGCTGACACCGCCTGCAGGTGTGGCTTCCCATGCCCTTACCTGCATCTGCTGCTTGAGCTCCTGGGCCAAGGTGCTATCCTGAAGTGCATCCTCCCGCTGAGAGGCATCAGCGAGCACATTGGCTGTGGTTTCTGCTTCTTGAAGCCACTTGAGGAAGTTCTCCAGGTCTCTACGAGAGGTCTGCACTATCTTCAGCTCAGCCTCCAGAGCGCTCTGTCTGTCAGCAATGCTGGAAGAAAACAACATGAGAGGCACAGCTCTGTTACTTTACAGGGTGGCACTGCACACTGTGTGCAACCTAAAGAAAAAGTTAACAGCCTCAAAAGAACTTTTATTTAATAAAGTCAGTGAACATAACTGGGAGATTGATTTACATTGTGTGTCTAGAATGATTCTCAACAAAGGAGTCCTGTGAATCATGAAATGTGAGAGGGAGACATATAAACAATAGCAAAATCACTTCCACATCACAAAATAATCACGACTACATTGTACATCCCATATTTGCACATGAAGCAGCTCCCACATCTATTTATATCAATACCTTAATATAATAGCTGACACTCAAAAGGTAGCATCAATAAATATTCGTAAAACCAGTAACCAAATGGACTCTAGCAAGGAGCAAAATCTCAAGAAATAGTTAAGATTTAAAACAATAAATAATTGAGTGACTGGCATGTGTAGCTGAGAGGTAGAGCACTTGCCAACCATTTTCAGGGCCCTACATCCAAACCCCAGCACTGCAAAGATATTAATAACTTTAAGGACCTAACTTACATATCTGTGAGTAATTCTTCTACTCAATACAAATTGATTTAATAATAACTGGAAGACAGTAGACAACCAAGGTTTTACAAACCTTCCCTAAGTCTCCATCAAAATTTGAACTCAAAGAGTGGCTTGAATTAAACACACACATATAAATTCAACATTTAAAACTTCATATATGTCAGAATGCAATAATAAGAAAACAACTCAATTTTTAAAATGGGAACCAACATTTTCACTCCTAGGTATTTAAACCTAAGAGAACCGAAAACATGTCCACAGTAAAACTGGCTATAAATGGATGTTTATAGCAGTATTATTTATAATAGTCAAACAGTCCGTTCAGCTTAAATGTTCATCAGTTGAAGGAAGAATTGATAGATATTTTATACCAATACATGGAGTATTATTCAGTCATAAAAAGAAATGGAATGTTGACCCATGCCATAATGCTAATGTATCTTGAAAACATGCTAAGTGAAGGAAGGCACGTACTGTGGAATTCCAATTATATGAAATTTCCCAAACAGGAAAATCAGAGTGCCTGTTGACTAGGACAGTGGGTAGTGGGCAATGGACTCTGTTATTGGGTATGGGGTCTCGTTTTCAGGTGATAACTTCTCTGAAAGAAAGAGTGATGAAGACCTGGCTGGGGGTTGGCATCAGTAGGAGGGGGAGGATATGGGGAGAGGGTGTAGGAGTGTGAATATGGCAGAAATATGTACTCATGTATGAGAATGGAAAAATGAGACCCATTGAAACTATTCTAAGAGTGGGGAGAGGGAAGATAAAGGAGAAGGATGGAGGGGATGAATTTAACTAAGGTATGTTGTAAGAATTTTTGTAAATATCAAAATGTATCCCCAGTATAACAATAAAAAATAAAAATAAAAGATGATGAAGAGCATGGCTTGGTGATGAACACCTGTAATCTCATCACTGGGGAGGCTGGAGCAGGAAGCTAATGAGTTTGAGGCCAACTCAGGTTACATAGCAAGATCTGTCTCAAAAGTACAAAAACAAAACAAAAAAAACGTGAAGAGTGGTGATGGCTGTACAACATGGTGAACATACTTAAAAATCACTGTGTGGTACGCTTCAAAAAGGTGAGTTTCATAGTCTATGAATTATAACACAATAAAAACGCAGCATATCTAATATGAACACATTCATATTTTTTCTTTCTGTCTACTCATCCATCCATTCATTATCAACCTATCTACCTGTCCTTCTGTCGGTAAATATACAAAGATGGGGAAATGTCTGGATTGATAATTTAATATTAATGTAGCTATTTCTGGGTTCTGAGAATTAAATTAGCTTACTTTCCTACTTGTAATTTTCTGCATTTTTAAATTTACAATGAACAAGCATCTTTTTCACATATCAATAAACACATTCTTCAAAGAAATGAGTCAAAGATTTAAACAGATAAATCACTTCAGAAGATATATGGACAGTAATAAGCACATGAAAAGATAAAAGAGGCCTAGGATCATTAACTATTAGAGAAGGTCCATCCAAAGCACAGAGTTATCACACAGATTCCAGTGGCTTTAAGAAAATGACGGCCCCAAGTGCTGGTGAGAACGTCAAGTAACTGCAACTCTAATTTGTTATGGGTAAGATGTGCAATGGTAGAGCCATGTTGAAAAATGGTTGGCAGTGAATCACAATGATGCACTTATTATACTCTCCAGCATGCTTCCTGCTCTGTAGCATATTTCTTGGAACTATCTCCATGTAAAAAGTTTATATCCACATTAAAATGTCCTTCCTACAATCTTCACTTAACAAAATCTTACCTGTCTTCTAAGGTTTAAAGACCTCTTCTTTAAGAATATTCATTCCCGATTAGGTTTCTTTACTCTGAGTTGATTAAAGGTTGGTACTCTCCCTCATACAGAAACTCATCACATAAATTCTAGAAAACCTCTTGGATTCTGATCTCATTTCACACCTAAATTTAACTTTGACAATACCATACCGGCTTTTTGTCTGTACCTCTATTCTACAGACTCACTACAGAAAAACATGTTTTTTCATATCTCCACATTCCCCAGCCCTTATTACAGTATTATAATAAATATTTACAAATAATGATAGTAGTATTCACAGCACGTCTCTAAGATTTACTCCCATGCACCATTTTTTAAGAAGTTCCTGGAACTCTCCTCCACAAAACTGTTTGCAAATCGAGAAGGAGGAAGACATGAGAAATATGAGAACAGCACCAGAAGCAGCCAAGGAGCTCTTATGCTACTGGGCGAAGGAGGTCACAAAAGAGAGACTGTGGATTCAAAATAGAACAGATGACAGCTGTCATCGCCATTCTGACTACTCTGTATTCTTGTTCTAACTGGATAAAATGTACAAAGGATACACTCAAGCAAAATAAGGATTTTATGCATGCCCCCCCCAAAAGGAAAACAAACAAAACCAAACCATGAATCCAAGAAATGGATATTCCACACTTGGGAAAAGCAAAAGCAACTGTCACTATGATGTCTATGCAGCAAGCCTTGAAGAGATGCCTCCAAAATAAGAATTTTAGAAGAGATAGATCGCATAACATGATTGACTCTGTGGAAAATTATGCCATCAAGCCATTGGAAAACGTAAGAAGAATTAGCAATAGGACCAAAGAAAACTAGGAATACTAAACAAGGCAACTATTAATTTCAGATAAAACAGAGAGGAAACAAAATTATAGTATTTCAGTGTGTGGCTATTAATAAGGTCTGAACACAAATAATAAGGTCGACATTAAATGTTTACCTAGAACTTTAAAGGTAAAGGGAAGAGAGCAACCGCATAGGACAGCAATTCCCTATATATTCATCAAAATAGGGTGGTGGTAGACAATACCCATTATTAATGAATAGAGAAACACTGCCATGCTCATTTTATTTGCAATCTGCAAATGTGTAAGTGACATAAAAGAGTAGCTAACAGAGTACACTTGTCGCTAGGAAGGTAGACTGCCATGAGTAGACAGAAAACTACTGTATTTTGTCACAAACCTTTTAGCAGTCTTGACTTTTTTTTGTAATCACATGTATGTATTTCTTTAATTTTTAAAACTTAGAAGGAGTCACCCACCACAACTTGGGTGGTTGGTAGAGTTTTATCCTCTCCAAACCATGCCCATATTTTCAACTTTTAAAGTATCAACAGGAAACAACATTAAGAATAACAACAACAACAAAAAAAGACTGAGCCAAAAAGGTAGCAGAAAGCAAACAGTTAAAAGAGTGCACACATGCAATTAACTCACCATGAACAGGCGATTTTTATTTTAAGGACATTCAACAGTAATTAGAAAATTTAGTAAAGTCAGACATATTCAGTTTCCATAATCAAAATCCTTTATTACTTAAGGATAGCTATAAGTACACAATAGGTTATGTAGCAACAACAAATATAAAAATAGATTAGTACAGATTAACTCTATTAAATCCTTAAGAATGCCCAGCCTAGGAAAAAAGGGGGCAAATATCTAAGCACCATAAGGGTAAAGCAAGGAATTCCCACACACGAGACATTTCTATACCCAATAAGCCTAAAGCACCACAGTAATGGGGAAGGTAGAAAATCTGAAGTCATCCTTCAGAGGAAAAGTGAGCTAAAAGGGTCAGGAGCACTTAGCCTTGATGGTGCCCCAATGGACAGACAAATGCCAGCCACAGTGGGGGACCAGTGGAATGTTCTGAATCCAGAAACTAAGACACTTACTGTCAAATTGTCAACTGATGACCAGTGGAGGAGAAAATAATATTTTAAAACTATATGCTTTGCAGGAAACTACCAGAGAAAAAATTTTTAGTTGTTTTAGAAGACATGGCTGCTTTGTAGGATATACAAGCAAAAGAATGTTAGTTTTGGATCAAGGCAGACAGGGCTCCACCACAAGCTACCAGGGAAGCTGGAGAAATCTGCCTTGTCCCCTCAAGGCTCATTGTCATCATCCCTGTGTTTGGCACACACAGTTGTCCATGACCTGACTCTCCAAAACAGCATCTCATCACTCTAAGCCTCGTGCACTGCTTATCTACAAAAACAAATCAATTACTAATCTTCTGGGAGGCCACTGTCTCTGTCGCATCCAGAGCTTTGCATTTTAGTACTTTTAACCCTAAATATCCTTCCTCTTTCCTCTTCCTGCCACCAGCCTCCACTAATTTTTTTGCTTTTTATTGTTGTGCTGGGTGGCGGTACACTGTGGCATATACAAAGATTCTTACAATATGTGAAATAATTGAATTCACCCCCTCCACCATTCTCCTTCATTCCCCTCACTCACCATTCCTGGAACAGTTTCAACAGGTCTCATTTTTCCATTTACATACATGCAGACTCCACTAATTTTCTCTCCTACCTGATTAACTTTCACTGACCCTCCAGAAACTGGAGGACCAGACCCATGGTCCTCTCCCAAATGTCCCGTGACTCCCTTAT